GAGGTATGTTTAGGGTTAGGGTTAGGGTTAGGGTTAGGGTTAGGGCTAGGGTTAGGGTTAGGGTTAAGGTTAGGGTACACTTCTGTAGTACAAGTCTGGTACACTTTGTGTATACATATATGTACCTCGGGTACATATCTGTAGTACCTGATACGACAACGACCCCTTGAGCCGTAGTAGTAGTACGTAAACTCGGTAGCATATACCTGGGTTCTTTCATCGAAGAGTAATAAGAGAGGAGGGGGAGGAGGGGGAGGAGGGCTCTAGAGTGGACACTCTACGGCTCCGTACTCAGATAGGCCTACGTTCGCTGGCTGGCTCAGAGAGAAGAAGATTTCCGCATTTTATTTTGCGCTATCGATGTTGGTTGCGTTGCCTCGAGTAAATAGTAATGTTTGATTAGTGAGTGTGGCGATGGAGGATGGGATGGGGGGATGAGGCAATGCACACACAAATCGTGACTGACTCCCTCCTCTTACTCCTCCTGTTCTTCTTCTTCCTCCTCCTTCTCCTCATCGTTCTGCTCCTCCTCCTCCTCCTTTTTTTATTATTTTTTTGCTTCTTGTTCTTATTCTTCTTCTTCTTCTTCCTCGTCCTCATCCTCTCTCTCTGCCTCCTCCCTTCCTCCCTCCTTCCCCTCTCCTCCTCCTCCTCCTCCTCCTCCTCCTCTTCCTCTCCTCCTCCTTCTCTCCTTCTCATCCTCTCATCCTCCTCCTTCTCCTCCTTCTCCTCCTTCTCCTCCTTTTCCTCTTCATTTCCTCATCCTCCTCCTCCTCCCCCCTCCTCCTCCTTCTCCTCCTCTTCCTCTTCCTTCCCCTCCTCCTTTCCCTCTTCCTCCTCTTTCTCTTCTTCTTCGCCACCTCCCGCTTCCCCTCCCTCCTCCGAGAGTGTTTTTTAATTGGAGGGGTTATCTCAAGCGCTCGCATTTGGCGACGTTGATGGTGGCGACAGGGGATCTCGCGAGATCTGGTTCTTCGCACGTCGGCAGGTCAATCGACCTCTGTCTGTCGACAAGGATAGAGGAGGAGAGGAGAGAGAGGCATGTGAAGGAAGAGAAGGCGGTGGAGGAAAGGAAGAAGGGAGAGGAGGGAGGTGGAGGAAGGGAGGGAGGTAGGTGGAGGAACGAAGGATGGGTGGAAGCAGGTAGGGAGAGGGAGGGAGGGGGGAGAAAAGCAGGAAGGAGAGTGAGAAGGGAGGAAGGAGGAAGGAAGAGGGAGGAGAAAGGGAGTGGTGGAAGAAGGAAGAGAGGAAGGAAGGAGAAAGATAGGGAAGAGAGGAAGGCACGAGAAAACGGGAGGGAGGAAAGGAGGAAAGGAAAGAAGGGGGAAGAAAAGCGTTAACGCGAGAAGAGAGAGGAGAGAAAAAATCATATCAACGAATCAAAACTCGCTCCCCTACCCCCAACCACCCCCATTTCGGAGGGGATGATTCGACGGGTTCGGATGCCAAAAAAATCATTACGCCACTGAGAGCAGATGTCGCAGGTCTCGCAAAATTAATATTCGAACGCACGCTGCTCATGAGGGGGTGTGTTTGTATGAAAGGTGGGGGGGGGATTAAGTTATATACAGCTCATTGCCGATGCGTTTTTATGGGACCAGTGCGCATGAGCTATAGACGTGCTGAACTGTTCCGCATAGGAACACACGCGAGCGATAGAATCGGTGAGGCGTTCTCCCTCCCCCCTCCCCTCCCCATCTCGCGCAGACGCACAGTCTCTCTCTCTCTTTCTTTCTTTCTTTCTCCTCTCGCTCTCTTTTTCTCCTCTGTCTGTCTCGCTTTTGCTCGCCCTCTCTCTCCTCTCTCTCCCTGACGCTCTCTCTCTCTCTCTCTCTCTCTCCTCCTCTCTCTCTCTCTCTCTCTCCCTCTCTCTCTCTTCTTTTCTCTCTCTTTCTCTCCCTCTCTCTCCCTCTCTTCTCTCTCTCTCTCTCTCTCTCTCTCTCTCTCTCTATATATATATATATATATATATATATTGCTCTTCTGTGTGTATGAGTGTATTGATGTGCGCGCGTTCGTGTTTTTGTGCGCGTTCGTGCGTTAGTGCGTTAGTACGTTGGTGTTTCCTTTCCTCCTAAGCCGTTATGTAATATTGTAAGCAATCATGACTTCACATCTAATGACTGCCGGATAAATTAAGCGAGTCAAAATGTGAATTTCATTAATTAGTGTAGCATGTAATGAGGACAAATTCGCCGTAAACACAATACACGCAGCACGAGACTATTCTAACAAAATCCGAAATTTTCTTTCACTCGCTCTACCAAAGAAATCATGTTAAATTATCTACGAGGCCACCGTCGCTAGCTAGTATTTCGAAAACCCGACTGGGAATTTTTTGTCGATGTTCAGTAAATTATTTGGTCAGGTGCAGGCTAGGAGAGATATTCGCATATATGCGAGCGTGTCATGAGCTATGGATGCACTTGCATTCCACGGACTTGTACATTTCGCTTTTCGTTTTGTAGGTAATTGCCGCTATTCAAAATTTGTTGTGTTTAGTCAGTATTAGAGGTGTACACCGCCCCCTGTGTCCTTGCCGCCTTACTCGCACCACAGCTCTAACCTATAGGGGCCCGTTGTCAGAAACAGCATCACTCTTAACATTAGTACCTAACATAAATGTTTTCTCTTGGACCGTTGGTTGGCAGAAACATCGTAAAGTTACGAGTAATCATAGCAAATACGTTCGCACCTTAATGAAATAAAACATTGTGAACGGTCTAAAAGAGAAAGATTAATGTGTAAGACTTAATAAAGTAATAGTTTTGTTTCTGATAATGGGACCCGGGTTTACCGCAATACCACGGTCCTAGGTTGTCCCGAAATATCACTAGTAGCTCACGGAAACATGAGTGTTCTAAATCTATCAACTTTTAAAGATGTTGATGTGATGACACGTAGTCACGTGTCACGTGATTCACGTAGTCACTTATGAACTATTTTAAGAATATTTCTCTGACAACATCCGCCCCGCCAACGTTTCACACATAATTCACACTCCACATCCCACCTACACACACACACACACAAACACACACACACACACACACACACACAC